TAGCAGTGAGTGCAGGATTGCCACTGCCGTACATTTCCCCATGCCTTGTGTCAAGTATCATGCTGCATGGAGTAGGGGCTTTCACCCTTTAATAGATCAGTCAGGCGGTGTCTTCCGCTGTTAAGCCTAGCGCTTCCTCCTAACATGGCAGCAGGGTTTGGAATAGCCCAAACTCTGATGCAGGTCAGAGGTCACTGGGATCTCAAATTACATCCCAGTTTTCCTCAATTCTCTCTCCAAAGTATTTCTAATGTCTCTCCTGCCAGGTCTGAGCAGCCCCTCTGAACTAGAACAGCCCACGCCTTCCTCCTATGCCTTAAGCTGTTTGCGGTTTAGCTTCTTGGCAGCTGCAGGAGGGGAAGCGCAGAACCTGAACTCAGACCTTGCCAGAGGCAGGAGAGACGAAACTGTTTCCAGACTGGCCTGTTGCAATCTATTTGTAATTACACAGAGTCCATTGAAGTCAATGGGAGCATTGGATCAGGTCCATAATGGATAAGTACAATTAAATGCACGGAAGGGGAGATTGTGAACATGTGATAATGAAACGGGCTCTTGCACAGACGTGCACCTGTACTTCCATTAGAACCCTGTATCAGAGGGGTAGCCGTGTTAGTCTGTGTCCACAAAAACAACGAGGAGTCTGGTGGCACCTTAAAGACCAACAGATTTATTTGGGTCCTATGATGGTGTCACTAGAGTAGATATGGGGACAGAGAAGGCAGTGGGGTTTGTTACAGGGGTTGGTTTCTGGGTTAGTGTTTCTGTGGTGTGTAGTTGCTGGTGAGTATTTGCTTCAGGTTGGGGGGCTGTTTTTCAGCTGGTATGGCACTTTCAGAAGAAATATCTTTGTAGGCTGAAATCCAGTGAAAGATCCAGTGTCTTATCATTGGAATCAAATTTGTTCCCTGGGGGGGGTTCTTTCCCTCTGTTTGAGAAGAGCAATAAAATCCAGTTTCTGACTTTTTCAGTCTGATTTTTAAAGGGACACTGTCCACTTGAAATCTAGTCTACTTCAAAAATGACCCTAGTTACATTTGCTGTGCCTGCTTCGGAGTCCTGCTGGCAATCTTTGTAGTTCCACAAACACCGTTTCCTCTTTTAAAAAGTTTTTCTCTTCCCTGTTAGTGTAGAAAACCCCTAGGGAGACTAATTGTGGGGGGGGGGGGGGGGGGGGAGCTGTGAAAAGTAATCGGAGAGGCCCAGGCCCTCAAACGTATGGAGGTGCCGAAGAGTATAAAATGGAGAGAAAATAAAGGATTTAGATTTAAAAATCAATTTCTACCTTTGTGGTTTTTGCCCTCCATCAAACCAACCCGGCAAGCAAGGCCCCAGCCTTGGTACGGCAAACATACATTTAAAAACTAAAATAATGGGGAGAACCAGCAAAGCAACTCAAGGTGTTTAGCCAAACCTAGAGAGGGCCTCCCCTCTTCCCTCCCCTCCCAACACGGTGACCATCTGCCCCACTTAACCCCCCTTGGGATCAGGGATGTAATTGATCAACCTGCTGCCATTCTGCCAAGTGTTGGGCACCTCGCCCTTCTCTCTCTCCCCAGCTCCACCCACCCAAGAGACTCCCTGAGATTTCAGGTTATGCCATGCAGACCCCTGGGCAATTCACCTTCCCATTAGTAAACATCTCCTTTCTCTGCATTCACATTCCTGCCTGGCTCTGGCCTGGGGTGAGCCTCTTCTTCCCTGCAGGCACAGCAAGGAGGCAATTTCAGAGGTCCTGTGGTTTTGTTGACTGTCACTAGGGTGAGATCACAACTTGTCTGGCCACATTTCTTTGCAGGCAGTTTCCTCCCAGTGGCACTATGGGAATGCCGGCCTGACCTGTGGGGAACGGGTTTGGTGACTCCCATCTAGTGGAGGAAAAGTGTCATTGGTTTAAAAGGAGAGTCCAGCCTCGTGCCCGCAGGGGGGTGAGCTCTGTGACATAGCAGCTTGTGACTGAGGAAGACACGAGCCAAGCTGTGTGACTGAGGCATATGGTCCAAGTCTGGGGTGAAGCAAAGTAGCCTGTAGGTGAGGCCTGGGAATTCGTGGCATTTGTCCCTGCAGATGAAATCCAAACCGGAACAGAGTGTCCATGGGGATGGGAGGAAAGGGACAGCCCTAGCGACTGGACAGTAAATTAATAGCCAGGGAGAGCTCCCCGCTTCTGTTACTGAGCGGGAGCAGGCTCAGGGTAGGCACAGTGGTTCACCTGAGTAACGGGGGTGAGAATACTTCGCAGCGCTATAGTGCGTTCCCAGAGGATCGCAGTACATCGTATCTGGTCTCTCTGAGGTTCCTGCACTGGCACGCATTACCATAGTATCTGTACAGACTGTGTATGCAGTGGTTGCTTCACTCTCCACTGAGATGCAGCCATTTGTGGGGAGGAACATGGCAACAGTGCCCAGTAACGCAGCATGGCAAGGAGAATCTTGTCTCCATTGAAATGGGAGGGGGAATTTAAAGAGGCAGAAGACAGTTACCCAAAAAGGGGCTGCCAGGTTCCCCACCCCAACTCTTGTGAAAAGTGCCATGTGGTTAGAGCCTGGGTTTTGTGTCTCACCCCAGCACATGCTGCATGTCAGATATCGATTCAGTGTTGGAGATAACAAGGGAGCTAAGTTATTCGCTCCATTTGGAAAGCACTGCACTTGGCTTTGGCATATTCCTGGGTCTGGCTGCAGGGCCGTCCTTAGGATTTATGGGGCCCTACACAGTATTAAACTGGTGCCCCTATGCCCGACGGCAGCCTAGGCTCGCAGCCCGGGGGCGGAGGGACGAGGCAGCTAAGGATACCTCACAGCGGCGGAGAGTCACAGTTCCCCGCAGAGACCCCCGTACCCTCTCCCTCACGCAGAATGCACAGCACCAGCGCATTCGGCTCTGAATACGGCCCCTGCCTAAGGACACTGCAGCGCGTGCTGGGCGTGCAGGAGCCAACCCGCTCTTACCTGCTGTCATGGGCAGAGGGTGAAGCTGCCGCTTGGGGAGGCTAGCTCCCCAGCCCACCTCTTCTGCCTGTGACCCCGCCCATACTCCACCCCTGCTCTGCCCAGGCCCCGCCCTCTCCCCACTGTCTCCCTCCTCTTCCCTCCCCCTCCCTGCTCACCCCCTTCCAGCCAAATCCCTGAACCCAAATGAAGCAAATGACATTTGGAAAAAAACCCACTTTTCTGCAATGTCTTTCTAAAGAAAATGGCGCATGTTTTCCACTGCATGCCAGATGGCGAAGACTGGACATGCAGAAGGTACCTAATTAAAAGCACTAAATTTGGGAATAAAAAATTTCAGTCACAGGTTTTTTGATACACCCTGAAGTTTGTCAGAGATTTATTTGCAAAAACTTCATAGTAAGGGCAAGTCAGCTGTCCTGCTGAATACAACATTAAATATTATGGAATACATGATGCAGCTCTTCTCTGTTTTACATTTTCTTAATCAGTATTTCTAAGCTGATTTTCTATTTTAAATGTACTCTTTAGCATCATAAAGTTATCATTCCAGATTACTACATATTTAACTCACTGAAACAAAGACACTATTTTAAATTAATCAGTCACCGAGGTTTAGTGTGTTCAAAACAATGTTCATTGCTTTTAGAAAAAGGGAAACTAATTTACTTTGTGTGATCTCCGTAACAATAGACATGTTTATGAAATTTCACCAACTTTAAGAAATGTTCCAAAGATTTTAGGCACAACAAATGGTTTTATCTTACTAAGGTACTGATTTTGCTGGAGGGTTCTCTTAAAACTAGTTCATCAAGTAGTCAGAAGAAAAAGAAAGAGAAACATGTTTGTCTAGCTATCTAGCAGGAAAGGGGTGTTGTCCCTTTAAGGGCTCTCTTCAACAAGGGGTGAAGGGAGAAAGGGATGGACAGGAAGACTTTGGAAGCAAGTTTTTTGTACTATAGTCATTAAAATTAAAATGTGTATTTTAGATAAGGGTGGTCTTTTGAAGGATTTATTTAAAAAACTATTGTCTGAAGAGCCAAGCATTTAAAGCTAAAGATTAATACTCAGATTGTGCATCTAAAAATGTATGCAAGGATTTTTTAGAGATGTGATTTTATAATCTTCAGCAACACACTGATGAAATATTTTTAAAGCAAATTTTAAACTAAGGGCCTGTGGACTGACATGTTCTGAGTAAATATGACAGTGACGCACAACTGGTTTTGTCAGTAAATTCAGAAACCTGGGGGTTGGCAAATGGCTTCATTACCCCTTGACTGGCTCTTCAACAGTTTCAATGTTGTGCTAATAGGCCTGGCAGGCTGGAGGCTTTTTCACTTCTAAGTTATTAGATCCCCTCCAGAGGAGGACTCACCAGGCTGCAGCAGCTAGTTGTTGGAGCCTGCAGGAAGGGTCAGAACAGGGATAGGAAGAGCCGGGAGGGTGGACACTAAGACCCAGGGGTGCCCCAAATTTTCAGGTGCCCTACGCAGCTGCATATGTCTAAGGATGGCCCTGTCTGGCTGCCAGGTCTGGGAACTCTCTGAGCTTGTGAGAGGCTAGATGGTTGAGTGCTTATGGACATTGGCCTGGGACTTAGACTCCAGTTCAATTCCCACAGCTTTCCTGTGTGACCTTGGGCAAGTTGCTTGTATTATGTGCCACAGTTTCCCCACTGATCAATGGAGATAATAGCCCTGCCCTGCCTCAGGGGTGTGTGAGGATAAATACATTAAGGATTGTGAGATCCTCAGCTGCTACAGTGAGGAGAGCCGGATAAGAACCGTAGGTAGATAAATGTCTGGTTAATTCTAGCTGGACTATCCCATATTAAGGAGTCTCTGTTTGGGGCGGGAGCTTAATGTGTAAAATCTCTATAAAGTTTCAGCACAGAGTGTGGGTGGATCTGTGCAGATAATGGGCGAGGAGTGAGACTTCATTGTTGTCTAGGCATCATGCGGGGCCTATGAGCAGGGTGAATGTCATTTGGTGTGAACCTGGGTCTGTCCCTAACTGATTGGATTTCCCTCTACCCCGATGCAGGTGATTGAAGAGTTCTACAACCAGACGTGGCTAACTCGCTATGAGGAGCCGATCACCGCTGGCACCCTCACCACCCTGTGGTCCCTCTCCGTTGCCATATTCTCCGTTGGGGGAATGGTTGGGTCTTTCTCCGTTGGGCTGTTCGTCAATCGCTTTGGCCGGTAAGTACCGTGTGTGCTGGAACTGCTCTGTCCATCCTGGGGCTGGTGGGGGCCCATCACCTTAGTATCTGGGTACATCTCAGTCAGCTCCCCCAAGTGGTAGGGCGATACCATTATCCCCCCGTGCCTCCCGTACCGTCGTCCTCTGGCCTCCCAAGCGGGCACACCATCACCTCCATCAGGCTGTATAAAAGGCAGCCTCTTAAATCCTCTTCCTTGTCTGTTAATTTCATCACATCGGAATCCTCTTGAAATCCCTCCACTGGCTCCTCATCAGATCTAAGCTTCTTGTCACTGCATAACTCTGCCCCTGCCGCCTCATCCTCCCTCCCTTCCCCCACTCCGCCAGCATTCCCAGACTTGCTCACCTCTGTCAGCTCCCCCCCAGGCACCTCTGCCTTTTCCGTCATGCCCCACCATGCATGGTACCAACTCCATGAGCTCATCCACAAGGCCACTGCTCTGCTGTGTTTCAGTCCCTCTTCGGCTGTGCTGCCTACCGTGAACTGATTTGTGTATCGGCTGCCTGTGGCTGTTCCCTTTCCTCTGTCTCCAGAGCAAGGGCCGCCCTTCTTCGATGTCTGGAAAACGCCCAGCAGACAGTGGGCACTATGGAGCGAGTCCTGAGGGACAGCAGAATTCATTGACTTACCCACAGCCTCAGAGAGGCAGGAACGGAGCACAGAGCTCTTGAGTCCTAAGCCATGGCTTTACCCATAAAACCACCCAGCTGCACTCAGGCAGCTCTACCCCACTCGCTCTTCTGAGAAGATGGGGAACCTGGAGCCGGGGCTGCTCCACATGGGCCAAACGCGTGTAATCTCCATGTCCCATAGAGTCTCTCTATTGGCCTCTCCAGCTCTGCGTGCACACTCCTGTCAAACAAAGCTTCATTGAGAAAGTAGATCAGGAAGTGTTGTTTACTACTACTCATAACACAAGAACTAGGGGTCACCAAATGAAATTAATAGGCAGCAGGTTTAAAACAAATAAAAGGCAGTATTTATTCACACAACACAGTCAACCTGTGGAACTCCTTGCCAGAGGATGTTGTGAAGGCCAAGACCATAACAGCGTTCAAAAAAAGCACTAGATAAGTTCATGGAGGATAGGTCCATCAATTGCTATCAGCCACGCTGGGCAGGAATGGTGTCCCTAGCCTCTGTTTGCCAGAATGGACAAATGGGATGGATCACTTGATGATTCCCTGTTCTGTTCATTCCCTCTGGGGCACCTGGTACTGGCCACTGTTGGAAGACAGGATACTGGGCTAGATGGACCCTTGGTCTGACCCAATAGGGCCATTCTTATGTTCTTATTGTTCTTGGGTCCTCAGGTTGCCGCTTGCTGTCAAAGGAGAATTTCATCTCTCCCTTCATGACCAGACCCAGTGTCTCCATTCATCACAGCTGCTTGGAGCGTTTTGCTCATACTTTGTGTGAAGGCTCATGAGCTTAATCATTACCCCACGCTGGTGTTAGGCCTTGTTTGGTGGGTGGCTCCGGCCTCGGAGAGGGTGACCAGGTGTCTGGTTTTTGCCCTGAACACCCGGTCAAAAAGAGATCCTGGTGGCTCCGGTCAGCACCGCTGACTGGGCCAGTGACTGCCCAGTTGGCGGCACTATACAGCGGGGCTGGCAGGCTCCCTGCTACCCTCTGCGCGGCTCCCGGAAGCAGCAGCATGTCTCCCTCCAGCTCCTACGCGTAGGGGCAGCTAGGGGGCTCCACCCAAGCACTGCCCCTGCAGCTCCCGTTGGCCAGGAACTGCAGCTAATGGGACCTGCAGGGGCGGCGCCTGTGGACGGGGCAGCGTGCAGAGCCACCTGGCCGTGCCTCACCATAGGAGCTGGAGGCGGGACATGCTGTTGCTTCTGGGAGCTGCTTGAGGTAAGCGCTGCCCGGAGCCTGCACCCCTGAGTGCCCCCCAACATCCTGCCCCAGCCCTGATTGCCCCCCTGCCCTCTGAACCCCTCAATCCCAGCCCAGAGTACCCTTCTGCACCCCAAACCCCTCATCCCCAGCCCCATCCCAGTCTGCACCCCCAGCCAGAGCCCTCGCACCCCCGCCCCAGCCCAGAGCCCCCTCCCGCACCCGAACCCCTCATTTCTGGTCCCATCCTGGAACACACAGCCCCAGCCCATACCTCCTCCACACCCCAACCCCCTGCCTCAGCACAGAGCCCTCTCCCATACTCGGAACCCCTTGGCTCCACCTCTCAGCCCAGAGCCCCCTCCTGCACCCCAAAACTCTCATCCCTGGCCCCACACCAGAGCCCTCACCCCCAGCCGGACCCCTCACCCCCCTCGCATTCCAACCCACTGCCTCAGCCAGGGGCCCCCTCCTGCACTCTGAACTCATTTCTGGCCCCACCCAGGAGCCCCCTGACCCAGCCCCGTGAGTGAGGGTGGTGAGTGCGAGCGACAGGGGAATGAAGTGAACAGGAGGTGGGGCCTCAGAAGAGGTGGGCCATGGGCGGGGCCTCAGGGGAGAGGCAGGGCAAGGGTGTTCAGTTTTGTGCGAGTAGAAAGTTGGCAACCCTAGCCTCAGATCTTTTGCAACAAAGTATTTGAAAACCAAGTCGAGTTTTCACCCATCCGTTGTTTATAATTTTTTGTATTTCATGCAGCTTGGACACTGGAAACTGCTTTGTGTGTTTCATTTTCTACTTCTTTATTCCATTTGGTTCTCGTTCACATGTTCTGCACCTATTGCCTGTGTCACTGATTCTCTTTCCACGATTAGGCTTTGGAAACCTTCCTCTTTTCTTTCTACCAAGAATTAAATCTTATGTTGTTTTGGGCTTATGTGATTTTTTCCCAGTGCCTCTTGGATGCAGCATTGGTACAGCTGGTCCTGATCTCCCTGTCTTTGCCTCCCCAGACGGAACTCCATGCTGATGTCAAACAGTCTCGCCTTCCTGGCGGCCATCCTGATGGGGTTCTCCAAGGTGGCTTATTCCTTCGAGATGTTGATCCTGGGCCGCTTCATCGTCGGGTTGTATTCTGGCCTCACCACTGGCTTCGTGCCCATGTATGTGGGTGAGGTGTCTCCGACGGCACTGAGAGGGGCTCTTGGAACGGTCCACCAGCTCGGCATAGTCGTGGGCATCCTCATCGCACAGGTGAGTTGTTCTCCAAGGCACCTGCTGCTGCATTGGCCAGTCCCTGGTATGCTGACAAATGGTCCGTTTCTCAAGAATTCATCTGGTTTCCTGCCTTTGTTTTTAACGTTGCATTGACCAGTTGGTGAGTTTACACTGATTGGAGCTGTCTGAGGTGCTTTGGGAGACAAAGGGTTATCTGGGGCCAGGGCGCTGGATTGGGATTCAGGAGCTCTGGGTTCCGTTCTGAGCTCTGCTAGTGACTTGCTGCGTGACTTGGGCAAGTCTTGTAATCTCTCTGTGCTTGTTCCTCACCTATAGAATGGTTATAATGACTGTCCCCGTGACTGTCGATTGTGCGCTCATTGTGGGGTGTCTGTGCAGCATCTAATACAATGGGGCCTTGTTCTTGAGGGGCTAATGTATAATGGGCAGATCTAGGTTTGGTGCTCATGAGGTCCACTGTACACATCATCTCATTGTGGTCTGGTATCCATGGGGACTGAAGATGCTCAATTATCCTGTGTGGTCTGGCTCCTCTAGAGAGACTGGGGTCTGGTGCTGTACGGTGTGCTGGCTTGGCCTGTGATGTTCTCTAGTGGCTGTGCACAGAGAGGGCGAGAGATCTAGACCTAGGGCTGTGATCCTGGTGCTGTAATTCCCAGGTTCTCATGCTGGTCCTGCAGACCTATGTGATCTACCTTATCCTTTGTCTGATTGTCCACGGTTCCTGCATTCATGGCATGGCTCAGGCGGGAAGAGCAGGAGCTGGTGGGACAGTATTGTCTCTAACGCAGTGTAGCTTTCTCTCCCTGCTGGCCACCTAATGAGGTTTGAGTCTGCTGCTGCCTCCAACCCTCGGCCTGCTCCGTTCGCTCAGGCAGTAGAGGCGCACGGTTTCAGATCCAGACATGTCAGGTTCAGTCCCTGCCCATCGGTTGTTGGGTTTAGTGTGCAGGTGATACAGTGGAGGTTGGATTAGAGCAGGGGTTCTCAAACTGGGGTTTGGGACCCCTCGGGGGGCATGAGGCTATTACATGGGGGGTCGTGACCTGCCAGCCTCCACCCCAAACCTCGCTTTGCCTCCAGCAGTTATAATGGTGTTAAATATGTAAAGAAGTGGTTTTAATTTTTAAGGGGGGCCGCACTCAGAGGCTTGCTATGTGAAAGGGGTCACCAGTACGGAAGTTTGAGACCCAGTGGACTAGAGAAACTGGCCTTACCCCCTGGCTGTGACGCAGGAAGGGCTGAGCTCGCTGTCTCTCCACAGGTGTTTGGGATGGACTTGATCATGGGGAACGAGTCGCTCTGGCCGCTCCTGCTGGGCTTCACCTTTGTCCCTTCCTTGCTGCAATGTATCATCCTGCCCTTCGCCCCCGAGAGCCCCCGGTTCCTCCTAATCAATCGCAATGAGGAGAACAAAGCCAAGAGTGGTGAGTTGGCTGCCCCTGCCCGGGAAAAGGCCGTGCAGGGCCTGCGCCCTTGAGCGTTCCTCACCTCTCCACCTCCTTCCCCTCAGTCCTGAAGAAGCTCAGAGGGACGACGGACGTCAGCAGCGACCTGCAGGAGATGAAGGAAGAGAGCCGGCAGATGATGAGGGAGAAGAAGGTCACAATACTGGAGCTCTTCCGCTCCCCTTTGTATCAGCAGCCGATCCTCATTGCCATTGTGCTGCAGCTGTCTCAGCAGCTCTCGGGGATCAATGCGGTGAGTGCAGAACTGCCGAGTACCGGCCTCGGGGAATCTCACGGGGCTGTACCAGGAGGGGAGGGCAGTGAGCTCTCCACCCACAGTGCCACATCCAGGGTCCCACTCAGAATGGAACCCTGGGGCCAGTGCCCTGCCCACTTGGCCACAATGCCTCCCATTGGTGCAGCTTTGCCCAACGCTCCACACACACAGGGCTGTGCTGAACACCACAACCAAGCCCTGTGGTGTTCTATATACACCTCCCCCCCCCCCCCCACCCCCATGAATGGCATTGGTCAGACGGTTTGAAGTCCTGCTGTGCCTGTAGATGCTCAGAGACGTCTCAGGCTGGGATCTGCAAAGCTTGTTCATGGCGTGTTGCTTTGTTTTGTAGGTCTTCTACTATTCTACCAGCATCTTTGAAAAGTCGGGCGTGGAGCAGCCCGTCTACGCCACCATAGGCTCCGGGGTGGTGAACACAGCTTTCACGGTTGTCTCGGTGAGTGTCTGCTGAATAGTCTTCCTTCCCACTGCCTGTCTGTACATCCTTGCAGGATTGGGGCCAGTGCTAATGTGTGTGGATATGGCTGTGAGCAAGGCCCCATTAGATAAACACATACCCAAATGTGATGATACTTCACGCTGCTCTAGCACTCCTCCGTTGATCTCCGAACACTTCGCCAAATGTGGTGAGGAACGTCCCCCATTTCACAGCTGGAGAAACTGAGGCACAGTGTAATGGCAGCCTCGTTAGAGATGTCGAGCCCTGCAGGTCCCACTGGCATTAGTGCCTCTGAAAATTGGGCCACGAGTGACTTACCCAAGGCTATGGAATGAAACAGCAGCAGCGCTGGGATTAGAACATTGGCCTCTGGCTCTGTTTAATGCCTCAGATCAGGGGTTCTCCAACTTCATTGCACTGCGGCTCCCTTCTGACAACCAAAATTACTACATGACCAAAGCCTGAGCTTGCCCGAGCTCCACCACCCCAGGGGAGGGGCGGGGGGCGAAGCCCAAACCCCACTGCCCCAGGCAGTGGGGCTTGGGCTTCAGCCACGGGCCTCAGCAAGTCTAATGCCAGCCTTCGCAACCCATTTAAAATAGGGTTGTGACCCACTTTGGGGTCCGGCCCACAGTTTGGGAACCGCTGCCTTAGACTGGGGCGGGCAAACTTTTTGGCCTGAGGGCCTCATCGGGTTTTGGAAATTATCCGAACACCCCCCCCCCCCCCCCTCCTTCCCCCCCCCTCCCGTGCCCCCCCCCCCACCCCCGGGACTCCTGCCCCATCTAACCCCCCCTGTTCCCTGAGAGACCCACCCTGGGACCCCTACCCCATCTCCCCCCCACCCCCGTCCCCTGACCACCCCCAGAACCCCTGCCCCTGACTACCCCCCACCGCCCCATCCAACCCCCCCCTCCTTCCTGACTGCCCCCCTGGGACCCTTGCCTCCATTCAACCCCCGCTGTTCCCTGCCCTCTGACTGCCCCGACCCCTATCCACCCCCCCAAACTCCCCTGCCCTCTATCCAACCCCCTCTGCTCCCTACCCCCTTACCGTGCTGCCCAGAGCATCAGGACACGCAGCCGTGCTGCCTGGCTGGAGCCAGCCGCGCTCCGCACAGCACAGAGACCAGGTCAGGCGCCCCGGCTCGGCAGCTGCGCTGCCCCAGGAGCTCGCAGCCCCGCCACCCAGAGCATTGCGCCAGCGGTGCAGTGAGCTGAGGCTGCGGGGGAGGGGCCGGGGGCGAGCCTCAGGGGCTGGGCAGGAGGGTCCCGCGGGCCGTAGTTTGCCCTCCTCTGCCTTAGACGCTGCTTGGCTAGAGCAATAAAAAGCAAATGTCCTTAGTGCTAGACTCTGATCCAGCCAATCTCCTCTCCTCCCTCCTGTCTGCTCACCCATTTCCACGAGCCTCCTGCTGAAGCACGGCTCCTCCCCCTCCAACAGACCAGCTGCTTCCTGCTTCCCTGGGCTCCATCACATTGTAGGCACCCTGGCATCGCCATGGCATGGCCAATTTTTACCTAGCTCACATTAAGTTGCTTGGGTGCCTTTTATAGGGTGACTGACTTTGCCCCTTGTTGGACGCCCAAGGTGGGGCTGCAGTCAGGTTAGAGAGCATGAGCGTGTTCCCCAGGGAGGGGTATTGGTGGGGCAGGACGTGGGTCTGATGTGCTGAACAGTGCTTGCCTCCCTCTGTCTGACAGCTCTTTGTGGTGGAGCGAGCCGGGCGCAGGACTCTGCACCTCGTTGGCCTGGCTGGGATGGCTGGCTGCGCAGTGCTCATGACCATCGCCCTGGTGCTGCTGGTGAGTGAGTGCGCCGAGTTCAGAGTAACCGGTTTGGGGCCACCTGGAGACACCTCCTGAGTAACCCAAGGAAAGGAGGGGGTGGGGCACTGAGCACTCATCAGCCCCAGGGGGTGGTTACTCTGAGGGCTGGTGGAAAGGGAGACCTTGCAGGGATGATGTCACATTGTTGGCCAATCAGCGCTGCCTGAATCCCTGGTGTCATTTCAAGAAACTCTTCCTCCATGGGGTCATAATTCTGGAGAGCGCTGGCTCCTGGGATGGCCGTGCTCCTTGCTTCAAGGCCCTGGCGCCGCAAGACACCTGCCGCCAGGCTCGCCCAGCACTGAAGTGAAGCCCCTTGAGATCATTTGTCAAAGGAATACGGTAGGAGTGGCGGAAGCTTCCTAAAAGTGGTGGGGCCAAAGCCCCCTGCCCCTCACACCCGTTCCGGTGCCCCTGGAATACGGTTGTACCAGAGATGCAGGGTCCACGTACGTTTGAAGCAAATAACGCTCTTCGCTCTTTCCCTGTCCTAGGACCAAATGGCCTGGATGTCCTACGTCAGCATCATTGCCATCTTTGGGTTTGTGGCTTTCTTTGAGATTGGCCCGGGCCCCATCCCTTGGTTTATCGTGGCAGAATTGTTCAGCCAAGGCCCTCGTCCTGCCGCCTTCGCCGTCGCCGGCTTGTCCAATTGGACCTCCAACTTCATCGTGGGCATGGGCTTCCAGTATGTGGAGGTAATTCCCCTGCCCTGCCTCTCCTCCAGCTCTGCGAGTGCTGAGGAGATGGGGCTGCTTTGAGCCACTCGCAGGATTTCCCTGCCTCCACATCTGCACTGGGGCTTGGGCCCATCTCTCTCTGCAGCCAGACAGGCTGGCAAATGGCTAGAGAAGGAAGCTCTAATGGATGCAGACACCTGCTGGGGCAGCGCAGGGGTGAGCGAGTACGACCGAGACTGATGAGCATCCAGGAGTTCAGACTTAGCCTGGTGTCAGTGGGTTCTGCCCCCCGGGAGCTCTAGAGGACGTCCAGCTGCTTACAGCCTGGCTCAGTTTGGTTCCTTGGCTTTCTGTAAAGACCGAATGAGCAGCAGCGCGTTGGATGACGCTAGCCAAGTAGGACTGTCTCATGGATCTCTTGCAAGCCCCATGCAAAGGAAAGTCAGTATCCTTATCCCTGTTGTACAGACAAAGTACGGCCCAGGGAGACTAAAGGACTTGTAGCAGAGCCAGGGATAGCACCCAGCTCTTCGGAGCCCCCAGCAGTGCCCACCACACGACCCTGCCGCCGCCTCCTATGCAAGCTAACCAGAAAGACCCATGTGTATTTTCCCCAGCAGGAGTCTGGCACGGCTCTGCCTCTGCCCAGTGCCTCAAAGGCTTCAGGGGTGCCTCAGCCATGTGCTGGCTCCATGCCCGGAGCTGAGTTTCACTCACAATGAATGGTACAAAGACACTGTGAAAGGGCCCACCCAACCCGAACAGCTCAACACTGCTCGGCCAGGAAAATCTCCTGCTTTCTACACGAATGGGTTTGACCAGGGCCCTGTGAGAGCATGAGGCTCATGTTCAGCACAGCTTCAGACTTCGCTCTGAACGAGGGAGCTCCCCAAGCTACTTGGGTGGAGGAGATGCAAGAGGAAGCGACTGAGACTGAGCTGAGGCTGCTGCTGGTGCCTTTCTAACCCCAGGAGCAGCTCTGTACATGGCCCTCTAGGTACAAAGCTGCCTAGCTCCATCATACAGGCAGAGCTGGGGCAGATCCGTTTGTTGCCCTGCACTGGGAGGGACGGGTTGGAAAGTTCGCCCGGGGTCGGGTTCAGGAGTGTTCTACACTCTCTGGATAGAAATAGTTACTAGATCAGGAGGCAGTGGGTGCTGCTTAAGAATTTGTAACCTAGTGCCTGGCAAGCTGGGTGGTGCCTCTGAGCACCCCACACCAGGCAAGCCCTGTGCCAATGCCCGTCGGCACCTCACCGCTTCCCTGGCTGTTCCTTTTCAGCAACTCTGCGGCCCATATGTCTTCATCATCTTCACGGTGCTGCTGATCGCCTTCTTCATCTTCACCTACTTCAAGGTGCCCGAGACGAGGGGCCGGACCTTCGACGAGATCGCCTCCGGGTTCCGCCAGGGCGGTGCCAGCCAGAGCGACAAGACGCCCGACGAGTTCCACAGCTTGGGAGCGGACTCCCAGGTCTAACAAGCCAGCAGCTCGTCCCTCTGCTCCAGCCGCTGAACTTCTCTCCCGAGTGTTTTAATGCTTGTACAGAAACCAGGCAGGAGGGATTTGGGGGGTGGGGGGTCGGGTGCATTTGTTCCATCTCCAGAGTCCCCCACCAGCCACCTGGTTGGCCAGCAGTATACTGACACACATTTGCTAGGAACAATTTTAGCTGGTTTCACGTCCAGGATTTCAAAGATGATAGGTTCAGAAACTACAACTAATGTTTTCAACCAACCAACCACCTCCAGTTTTGTGAGCTGGAGGCAGCTCCCTTATTAATGAAGCAACAGGTTCTTTAACGAGAAGTTTTTAAAGGTCAATACTTTCAAGGGTTTTAATCACTGAAGAAAGCCTGTTGCTTTATTAAGTATTTAAAAAAGCAGATTTTTAATGTCTCGAACAGTCTAAAATTTCAAACCCCCAGTGGGTTGGGGGAAGAGGAGACTAGGGGGGAAGTGGGTAAGGATTGTAATGTTAATGGATTCGTTCTGTTCCTCTACAACTCTGAGCAGTAGCTACCCCTGAACTGGGCCGCAGGAGAAGCTCTGAAAGGGCTGTAGTACTGTAGTGATACGTGGACAGTCCTAGGGGGACCTGCCTTCTGAGGTCACCACCACATCTCCCAGGATTTAGAACCTCCAGTGGCAGCTTCTCAGTCCTTCTGAACCTGTCCCCAGACGAATATACTTCCCTCACCTGGATGAATCATTTCCTCTGAGTCAGATGGGTACAGTTTGGGTGGGGTGAGGTTTTTGTTTGGGGGTTGGGTTTTTTGGGGGGTTTGGGGAGAGTTAAAAACTACTGTGGTTTTTTTTTAGTCTGGCAATATTTGCCTTATAGGTCAATTGCAGTGTATGTGGGCAGGGAAGCCTCACTACTGAAAAACCAGCAGCAACCTGCCCCCTCGGCTCATTGTTAAAAACAAACCAACACTCCAGAATTGAAATCCAGTCTTGCTTTGCTCCCACCACAAGCAACCCTTGCGCTGAAGGTATAGCTGAGAAGCAGGAGTGGTATGTTTACAGGCCGCAAAAGCCAGTTTTGGGCAAAATAAACGGGCTGATGAGACAATACAAACACTAGCCCAGTCACTACCCTGTACGTCCGAGACTCTCCGAAATTAATCAGTTGAATGGAGACATACATTTCCTGCTTTGTGTATAGACTGGAAGATATTTATAAATATATATATTTGTTCAGTGGTGTTAATAGTGGACATTAAGTTATAGTGTTTCTGATTGACAAGCAAAGTACTGTAAATATTCTTGAACTATATTCACATTGTACAATGTAAACAAAGTACAGATACAGACTTATAGTTGCTATAGAAACTGTACTGAAAGGCTTGTTCAATAGAATGAATGACTTTTGTATAGTTAACTTACCTGCACTGTAGTTGCATCTGTTGCACTGAATTTTAGTCTTAGCATATTACAAACAAACAAAAAAACCCTGTCATTTACAAAACAAACTCCTCCCCTAGAGTGCATATGTTTTAGAGGCTCATGGCACATTTCCAAAGCCACATACAGCTATTTAATAGTATTTTTTTATTTATTTGTCTGTTTTTAAAGTGACCACACTTGGAAGAAAATAAACTTAGCAAAAAATCATCTCTGTGTACAGCGCAAAGTCTGAAAGACTAACTTGTTTCGTTTTTTAAAAAAATAAATAAAAGTGCCAAGAGAAGGAAGAAAAACCGTGTGTGGTGTGGAAAGAATTAAGTACACAGGACAAGATGTGCAGTGTTGTGTGGATTTGTTCTATTAGGGGGCGATGTTCAGACTGTGGCCAGCTCAGGGCTTCAGGGGCAACTTACCAGAGGATTCAGAGTAGCAGCCGTGTTAGTCTGTATCCGCAAAAAGAACAGGAGTACTTGTGGCACCTTAGAGACTAACAAATTTATTTGAGCATAAGCTTTTGTGGGCTACAGCCCACTTCATTCTACAGGTAATTCAGCATTGTCCAGAGTTCTTTGCTGAGGTCCTTTGTTTTGACCCTAACACCTACACTCCTGTCCCCGTTTTTCATTTAGAGCTGTGGAAATAAGTGGATTTACTTTTTTATTTTATTAGTCCAGGAGCCAAACCAAAAAAAATCTAATCTAAAGTTATATTGATTTTTGATCTGCAATAAAAATGTTTGAAAGTTTCAGCAAACTAAAAATTAAAAACAAAAAAAAATTGTTTTGGGTCAAACACAAGACTTTGGAAAATGAAATTGAAATTATTTAAATTGGTTTTTCAATTCAAATTTTGACTGTTTTGGTCACCAAAAAACCTCCAAAAATTTGCAAAATACTCTGGCTGACCTAAAAAAAAAAAAAAAAAAAAAAGATTGGGGGGGGGGGGGTTTTTTGTCTCAAACAGTTTTTGCCCCATCGTTCTGGGTGCTGTAGCCGTCCCCTCCTGCGAGGAGTGGGCCTTTTGTTCAGGTGAGCTCTGTCCCCCGTCCCAGGGTTTAAATATGCGAATACGATGCTGCTGTTAGGAGTACAGCAATGGGTCTCTTAGAGCTAGTTTAAAAACATTTTGGGGGAGGTGAGGGGGGAGCAAAATGGACTCATTGTCAAAAATGAGCATTCTTGTGGGGAAAATTGGTTTACAAGTTTTTTTAGTTTTTTGTTTTTGTTTTTTTAAATGAAATACAACCCCAAATCGCTTATTGGGGTGCCCCCACTTCCCTCATTCTCCTCTAGCACAAAGGGGGTGAGGGGAAAAAAATCTTTTTAAAAAATTTAAATTTTTGAAAAAAAAAAACACATGAAAATTGTGGAATGAAAAGGAGCAAAGAAGCAGCTTCACCGGCCAACCACTACAGCCCTAATTTTGAACCATGCTGCATTGCATGCTGGGACTCGTAGTCTCCAGGAGAGGCATCTCCATTCAAGAGGAGGCTGCCTGTGATGTGGGTCAGTGTTTGGCCCATGGGTGAGACCTCTCCTATGGTGCCTGAAGGAGAGTCCTAAACTCTGTGCTTGGCAAGGGTGGGGAGGGAGTGATGGGAGGCTGTTAGGAAGAGAAGTATGTCTGCTGAAGGGGCTGGAAGCCCAGTGCTAGCCCAGCTGGACCACAAGGGCTCTTCTCTTGCGGGGTGAGGATGCTCTGACCCAGCCCCTCCGTGCCCCCAAAGCCTCTGCTCTGGCTACTTTGGGCTGGGGTTGAAGTATTACGCATGGGGGCAGAGCGAGCATCCCGGGTGATAGCAGCAAGGATGTGCCCTTGCACCCACTGGTGTATTGTGGGATTATCCAGAGTGGCCCTATGGACGCCAAGACGTGACTGCGCAGACGGGGATAACTTCGCTCTCCCTGCTGGGGAGTGAGGAGACCTCTGCCATCTTCATCCTTGAGGCGCTTTTCTGGCAAAGGGTAGCAGTGCCCATTCCTAGCTCCCAGCTCTGTGCTGCCTGAGGAGGGCGCAGAGCAATCGCTCCTTTTTTGCTGCTAAATCCAGGGCCTGGTGCAAATGCTGTTTTATCTCCTGGGCTCCTTGCCCCATTCTGTCAATTTATTAATTTTTAACAAGCTGTGCAGTGTGGCTCCCAAAGCGACCAGCTTCATGGGGGGGGGGAGGAAAAGGACTATCGCTTCCCCCCCTCCCCCATTTTTTCATTCTTCATCCTCCCATATTATAAGTAATAGGAAGTAAATGAAAATAAAGTGAGGTACCTTGACTGGGGTTGGGGTGCAAGAGGAGGTGTGGGGGTTTGGCTCTCAAGGGCTCTGGGCTGGGGTGTGGGGGGGTGCGGGGTGTGAGCTCTGGGCAGAAGTTTGGGTATGGTGAGGGAACTCTGGGTTGGGGC